AAGGTAGAGGCTAACAGAGCAACATACATGATGTTCTCCTCTGACCTCCGCACGCTCAAGAGCACAAACACGTACATGTAACACACACACACAGAGAGGGGAGAGGGGGGAGAATATAAATAAATAAGAACAAGCTGGCATTCTCTTTTACTCCTTTTCCCTGGCAGTGAACAGCCAGCCTGGCTTGGCAGTGAGTGTGTTCTATTGAAAGAAACCGGGCTCTCCAGAAAGGCCTGTTCGTTCTCTTGGGAACGTCACGGGCAACAGCAGAAACCTCCCTGTTACCCTGTCTCCAGGCACGGCAGACACATACAGAGTCACAGAGGTCATGCCTGTGTCTGTCTGGTCCCTAGACTGGGGGATCTGCAGAAATCAGGAGGGAGCCGGCATCTGGTACAGAGGGACATGGAAGAGTATGTGTCTGGCGCTGGGCTGCATCTGCTCTTCCTCTGAAGGTTTCTGAAATGTCTATTGTCCCTGGGAGGGTTGTCTCCCTCTGTCATTAATTACCATGTGGTTGAGAAGATTCACAGGCCAGAAGAAAAGGCTGAGTGAGGAAACACGTGCAAATAATTAGAAGAGAAGTACAGTCATGTGAAGCCTATAATTCAGTTAAAAAATTTACTTCTCCAATGGGAAACACCAAGTTAAGAGAACTCAAATCTCTATGGCATTTTAATTTAGGGAGAAGTGAATCTTGGTTATTTTACCCTCTTAAAAACAGAAATTTGGCTTCTTTGACAGACTCTTAGGGGGAGGGGGTAATTAAGTTAACATGGTCATAAAATAAAATAGAAGAAAAAGCAATTTATATTCTTTTTAAAAAATTTTTTTTTGATGGAAACTCTAATAAATGTTAACCGCCACACATAAGTCCTACTTTCTGTTCCTTGATGGTAAGATACCTCCTGATATATTTTTCATAAGCAGTATGGGTCCCATTGACTTCTAACCTTGTGTGCAAAAGGAACGACATGCACCTTTGCTCCGTGTATATATTGGCTTCAAAGTAATGCAAAGACATATATGAGGATCCCTGGGAAGGAAGCAGAAGAGTGGCCTGGCTATGAAGCTGTCTCCTCCCCCGCCCCCCCCCCCCCCCGTGTATGTATGTCCCTTTCTTGCCATGGCACATGCCCGGCTAACAGTTCTTCCCAGCTGAGCAACAGTCCTCAAGAATTATCTTTAGCTTCTTTGCTGGGTCCAAAAATGTGATGGCTAGAATCCATCTGGATGTCAAAACAAGAGACTTGAGGTCAAATGCTCTGAGACATTGGCATGGTTCAATGATTTATACTCTCACTTTCCACACGCAGAGAATCCTTCCCCCCCACCCCCGCATGATTTGCATTTCATTCCAGTTAAGCAACTTTTTTTTTGCCACATTAAAAGCAGAACCCCAAGTGTGGATAAACTTAGAATGACTTTCAACTCTACTGTGACTTATATAAAGTTAAGTGACAACAACGCAGGCATGCTGGGCTGGTGGCATGGAGTATGTGGCTTCAGGAGTGAGCTAGCAGCGAAAACCTGTCTGCCAAATGAACTCCTAGAGACTAGAGCTGATACTCAGTGCTTCTGTGGGGGACATTCTCTGGGAGTATTCATAGCTGCCTTGACGTGACTTTAAACGCTGCGTGAGAAAGTCTGGGAAGTGAAGACATTAACAAGCCTGCAAAACTCTGCTTCCCAGCTAACTTGGATGACACAGATAAGAAGGGACTCAGATAACAGCAAACATGCATGGAAGCAAAAGTGACCCCCTAAATACAACATCTCCCACCAGAACCACATTCTAAACCATGACTCCGTGTTTGTAGACTGAATGAGAATTGTTATCAAAGAACTCAATGTTTTACTGTGAAATATGCTTCCCACTGAGTGGTGCAGGTCACTTCCAGAACTCCCAACCTGTACATAACTTTGTGCTCGGCCATCTTATTCCCGTGTGAGACCAATAAGCACCAAGCATTCCCTTGCTCAGCCTCCACTGCTCTTTCAAAAACTCAAAAGACAATGATTTTCTTGATAAACTTTTAGCTAAAAGACTTCACAGATATGATAAAAAATAAGATATGCACATCAAAGTGGTAGAGATTTGATTCTGCATGTTCGTCCTCTCATTTGTATAACTTAGTAACTGTGGTCTAAGTTTAAAGACAGGAGTCAGGCAAGTTTGAAATATGGTGTATGGTGAGGGGATTCTATTCATTACTTGTATTCAGCTTCGAACTTGGTCTCTGGGATATGCAGATGCTTGAAGGATACAGGAAAAGTATATTTCCAACACAGCCAAAGAATTTTTGGATATCCAGAAGATACAGTGTGATATTATTTTTCATTATTTCAGAGACCTGCTTATAATACAAGCAGACTTTACATTAGAATTTCTAGAAACACATACTACATGTTTAGGGTAGGCAGATTAACTGTGGGGTCTCAGAAACAGGGAAAGAATATATTAGATCTATAAAAGTTAACACTGGATACTTCAAGAATGAGACCGTGGGAACATATAAGGAGCCTATGGAAAGAGATGCCCTGGGGAGGAAGACAAGGTGCTACAGTCAAAGTACTTGAATCCGGCTGCTGGGTCAGCTCTAGCCGGGTCTGCAGGTCACTTACTGTCCTTGCTATGTTCTGAATGTGGGCTGTCACCAGAATCCCCGTGGGCTCATGTGTGGTTTTGACCTCTAGATGGTGACACTGTTTTGGGAGATGGGACATGGGATCTGACTGGCAGAGGTGGGTCCCTGGAAGCAAGCCTTTGGGGGGGAAAGCTGCAGCCTAGCCTTATTGATCCCGTTCCCTATTGCCTGACACAATAAAGCCAGCTGCTTCATGCTCCTTACAATATGACCAAGCTCTTCCCACCTCCATACTTTCCCAGACACGATGGGATTAAAATCCCCCAAGATTAGGGACGAAAATAAACCATTTTTCCCTTAAGTGGCTAAGATCAGGTATCTTTTCACAGTGGGGAGAGAAGTAATATAACCACCCACCCTTTGTTTCTCCTTCTGGAAGTGTATGAGTGACCTTTTAAAATGTAAAGGGACAGCAAGAATGAAAGGAATTTCAGGTGTTGAACTGCTCTGAGCGTCAATTTGTTACATAAGCATTGACTGCAAGATCACTTGTGAGGAACATGGTGGCTCTGATGAAAATAAACAAATAAACAAGCTTTTCAACCCCCCTTCAATAAAGCTGTAGGCCTGTAGAATTCTGTGGCTTTGATTGTTAAAACACTTCCTCTCCCCTATCCCACACGACCTAGCCAGAGCACTGCACGCTGATGCCTTTAGCTGCGACAAAGAGAAGTCATTGCTCCATTCCTAGCTTTTCAATGACCACGTTTTAGAAAACACACTGGCAAATCCAGTCCTCACTTCTCCTTAAGAGAACAAGGTTATTTTTCTAAGCCAGTTATTCTCTAGGAATAGACTGTCCCCTATTTCAAGACACTGAACATATTCTAATGATGGGTCGGTCACACGATGTAATGAGCCATTTAGGAGTAGTATGAGAGTTAACGAGACACAAGCAAGAGAAAAATAAAATGTTATTGCTAGGTAAATCCTGCAGCCCATAATAGCTGACCACAGACACGGGGTCTAATGAAGCACAGAGAGTTCACACTTGATCTCCATTTTAACTAGCCAAGGACTCAGCAGAGACATGCCCCGAGGCAGAATAGTCTATTTGTCTAGAGCAGGGAAGAGCCATGTGGTGAACTTGTAGCAACTGGGGAAACCAGATGAGAAGTCAACTGGCTAAACCGATTCCAAACCTGCGGGCATGCAGAAGGCCAGCCAGGCCAGCCTTCAGCTGGCAGAGCTAACCTGGCAAAGCGCTGTGCTGCGGGCATGACCTTGATCCCAGCTTCCTCCAGCCTCCTGCGCCTTTGGCTTTCCACAGCATCTCTGTCTTCAGGAACGGCAGTGGGCACCACAGCAACCTCCTCGGGGGACTGCTCCTCACCACTGCCCGGAGGAGGTTCTAACCCACCGTGAGGCCACCCATCATGGCCCATCTGGCTGCTGGGGTCATCTTCACCAGGAGACCCTGTTTCACTTCCCTCCTCCTCTATTGTTTCTGGATAACTAGTGGGTTGGACAACATGGTTTACTAAGCTAAGAGACAGGCCAGGAACACACTGGACATCGCTTCCAAGACATTTTGACATCACTTTTAACTACAAAATAAACAGCCACAGCCCAGAATGTGATCCTGCTAATTCGAAGCCGACTTAGTGCAGCTGATTAACACAATGCATTTCTCCTACATACTGATCAGGGACTCTTGCAAACTTGGTATGGAAAGCAAAAAACAACTTCTGCTGGAAAGGTAAAATTCATTAGTTTTGATCAGTAAGCAAAAATTTGAACTAAACATTCCCTCAATGGAAAAAGCGTAGATAAAAAAAGTGAGAATTAAAGTCCTTACAAGGTTACTAAAGACAGGGACTATTTCCTACTGTTTTACTATTGGGTCCCCAAATCCTGAAAGACAGTACCCAGCGCATAATAGATAGGCAGTACTCAACACATACTTGCAGAATAAATATATACCTTAATATGGAGATTAAAGAAATCGCTTCCTGCTCTTTAAAAAAAATGAAAAACATGCCTTCCATTTATTCTGACCCTTATCTGCACTGATCTTCAAGTCCCATCAGCTCTGTTCTTATCTTTGCTTGCTCTACATGAGTGCATCGAGAATCCTTTTGTATAGTCTTTGTACCCCCACTGTAACAGGCTCAGAAGTTGGGTGGCCTCCACAGTAGGGTACACATGACACGTGTTTTCCACATTCTGTCCACAGGACTGACCTCAGAGCATCAGCTTCTCAGTGAACTATTTCTTAGCTACCTACTGCGTGCCAGGCACAGTGTTAGGGACCTTCATGAAATTGGTATTTCATGCAAAGCTCTCTGGGATGCGCTGGCCACTTCCTTTCCTTCAAGATGGCACCTCAAAGTCCTGAAACCTCATTCCTACCTGAAGGGCCTTTCCCCGCCCAGGGGGGAGGTGGCCGTGCTCCAGCTCTTCCTGTATTCCTCCCGCTTGGCCTTCTTCTTTCTCAGAGGCGCTGGGACATAGGCCGTCTGGTTGCTTTTGTTCGGGAGGTACTGGTTAAATGGTACTGCAGACTTCGGCTCACCATGGGAAGTCCGTCGTGCAGACATATCATCTTTCTTCACATCCGGCAACTTTCGGTGTGGCAAGTCAGATTCAGAGTCGCTTCCTCTTCCTGGGAAAGAGAGGATGGATGCTGGGCTAGCAAGGATGCTCAGTGGCATCTCTACAGAATCAAGTAACTCTTGTGTGTTCTGGAATTCATACCCTGAGTTAGAAACTTGGAAAATCCCTAAATTAACCTCCTCTGGAAAAAGGCCTCAATTTTAGTGAGAGAAAGCCAAAAAAACTACAAGCATGTTTTTTTTATTGTTGTTGCTGCTGGTGGTGGGTTTTTGTTATTTTTTTTTTTTAACAGAGGTAAGTAAGCTTGAGTGTGCCAGGAATTACAGTAAGTGACACATTTGTGTGGAATTCTTTGCCTGCCAAGGTTTGCTTTGGCAGCTCTCAAGAGAAAATCTTACCAGTTTCCCAAAGGGATTTTACTTATCTCTAGTGTCTACTGTGCTAGACATTGTGACATGGATGAATTAGAAATTATTTGTCTTTACATATCTTTACCCTGCCTCAGAACACAGAGAAGGTACCAATTATCTAGTAGCAAAGACAGATAAGAACAGTAGAACTTAGAAAAGTGACCACTTGGACTTCCCTGAGGGTTTACCTCCCAAGAGGCTTCATCTTCTTCTACAGAATTTTCCCAGCTCCCTTGGACAATCTTCTTCCTGCTGCCCCTACCAACCCATGATCATGTCTTCTCCTGGGACAGTTCTTTCTCCCTTTGTTTTGAAAACCAGAGCTGTCCAGGATACAGCTTCTAAGGCACGCCATTGCAGCCAGTGGGTATCTCACACTCAGATGGATACATGATTCAGTTTGGCTCAAGAGTTGTTTTGCTTTGTTTTGAATGCAAAGGAATTCAACTCTGCCAACATCAGCCTTGCTCCTTGATCACAGCCCCAATAATTGTAACACATTCTTTTTGTCCAAGTCTCATGTTGCTAGATTTCTAAGGTCTACTAGAATGAAGCTATCATTAAGAAAAACAAAATCATATGAATAACTGTTATTTTAATGCTGGTTGAAAACTCTCAATCAACGAATGACATCATTCTGACTCTCTTGATAGTGAAGACATTTATGCTTAAGAAGAGAGTCAAGAGCTGGGACAAGGCAGAGGGGGGTGGTGTGCATGGTTTTGGGTCAGACCCACTCCATTTCCAATTCTGCTATTCATTGGTCTTGTTAACCTGATGTTATCTAAATTGTAAAGTGAGGGTAATAATGCCATCTGCTTTATGGGGCAACTGGAAGGGTTGGATCCACCTGTAACCACTGTTCTGGTCTCTGGCACAGAGTGTTTAATACATGCTCCCTGCTCTTTATGTTGGAACATGGACCTATGATCCCATCAGACATGAGCCGTGGTTTCCTAACACACTTGACTGTCCTTCTCTGTGATACTGGAATGAAAGGACTTACCCCAAAGACTAGACAATATAATGATGTTTAAGAGACCATAAGAGTTAAGAGCACTGGCTGTGAACAAGTTGTTCGTTGAATGTGAAATATTCAGACTATGAATTATTCATGGCACTTGCTTACAGTCTCTCTTCTGAAATTTTGGCCATTTCCTGACTTGTTAGGATTTGATTCATTATTTAGCCCCTTACCCACCACAAGTCCTAACAAGTGTATCTGTCAGTGCCAAAATAAAAGGTTGCCTGTAAACAAATACGCACACCACCTTGCCTTGCCAAGCACACAGATTTGTTTCTCCACGTGATAGTAGCCTCTCTTTATAAAGACAGAAACAGGCTCAGAGGAGCCAGACAGGTTCTCCCCTCCCCATGGCTGATTAGTGCAGGCTCAGGGAAACTGGACACCCCAAGTTCTGTCCTGTGAGCACACTGTTCTGAGAGAAACATCTTCTTAAAGTGTCCTGAGTAGAGAAATACTACATTGTGCTGAATACATGAATTAAAGTAAATGAGTATACCATCTACTACAACAGCGTAGGGATGATTACAGTTGTCTTAGATCCCTCAATCTACGCTCTAGGGGCCATATTTCTGCATCTTAGCTAAATATCATCACAACATACTGGAAGCTGAAAATATGTTAACATGTAAGCACACCCCTTTCCTCCTGGAATTACTCTTCAGGACTGTCTCAACAGACATTTTAAGGAATGGTAACTTGCCAATGTCCCAGGGCTTAGCTGTAAAGTACGTAGCTTCAGTGGTGTACAGCCAAGCTGGCATTTCAGTTCCACCACTTGCTAGCTCCATGACACTGGGCGTTTCAACCCCTGTACCCTGCGTTCCCATGGTTGACACAGGGATGACACTAGAGCTCGCCTGGGATGTTGTGAGGATTCAGTGAAGTGACACAGACGACCTCAGGAAGGCTGGCGTGTTATGCCTGCATAATTGTAAGGCTAGACCTAAAAAAAGATGCTTATCTCATTTTAGCCTGTGGACATGGAAATCTACTAGGTTGGCTTCTCCTCAAATGTGCAAAGCTAGAAAAACATAACAGAGCACACAGTGCAATATTATTTTATCAAAGTCTCACCCTTCGTTCCCACGTGGCTACCAGCAAGTAGAGCCCTTCGTGTCCCTTACCCCTCTCTGCCCCCTCTTCCTTCCACATACTTGCTGCCAGATAGCCTCAGATTACAAATACTTTGTAATTTTTTTTCTAGCACTTCATTTTTGCTTACTTGTTATTTCTATTTTGTAACACATCTTTTTGAAAAAATATGGAGATACTGAGTTAATGCAATGAGTCGTATTTATGAAATAATACTAATTTTCAAAGCAAAATATGACTAATTTTCAAAGCAAAATGGGTACAAGGATGCATCTCGTGCTCAGTGAAGTTTTTAAAGGGCCTTCACAGGTGATGCCGGTGGAGGCTGAAGGAGGTACTTGGTACCTGGTTGGCAAGACAAGTTGGCTGAAGCAAGCCTCTGGGCTTAGAGCCTTCCTACCAGAAAACCATATCCAACTCAGAATCATGGAGCTTCTGGATGTGACTTGTCTCCTTTGAATTAGTCAATAGGTACCCACCCATTTAACAAAGTTGAAGCCTTCCATATGGACCCAATATAAAGGCAAAGAATTTTATGTTAAAATTGCCCCTGATTCCTGATTGTGGGACAAGAAAATGTTAAGACATACACCCCACCCCCAAAAGTCTTTCACTTTCAAATGTGGAACTATTTTAGAACTAGCAATCTTACTGATTAGCATCATTTTAAGGAACACACCAAAAAGGAAGATTAAGAGATATGTTTTTTCTTTTGAGGCTTCACTAGATCTTGATTAGTTTACAGGATGAGAAGCCTTAAGATATCAGATTAACTGGTGAAACCTGTGGAAGACGCACAACGAGGGGGATCGGGGATGGGGAATCGGCAGGGCTGTGTTCACCTGATTGTTCACTGTTCATCTGCTGGAGAAAGCATTTATCCATAGGCTTTAGCTTATCAGCCTTAATTGCTGCAACTAAACTGTGCTTTGGGCTATTTTAGTATAATATTACTAATCATCATCTCAAATGCTTTCAAGATGCGGTTTAAACTCTGAACCCTCAAAGCTGGTGACAGACTAAAGCATCCACAGTACCAGTTACAGAAAAAAAAAAAAGGTGAAAAAGAAGTCATATTTTTTCAAAGTTAAAACAAACAAAATGGGTGACATAGTTTGGTTGAGATGGTTTTGGTAAAAGCAAACCCATGCATGGGCTGTATGAAAGCATAATTAGATCACAGACTTGGTATTTTAACTTCTAGTGCTGTGGGTGGTACTTAAGATGTCAAATAAAATTTCAGAAATATTTCTCAAGCAGCTCACAATGTACCATGGAATTCTTTGGGAGTCACACACTATGCGGCCCCGAGGCTAAGCTGTCTGCGGAAAAGTGTACATTCTGACTTTAGAATAGCGACTTCAGAATAAAACCTCTATCGGGTTAGGGAAAGTAGCCCGGGTAAATTAAGAGGAACCCACTCGGACCCACATTTCTTGAGGCCGACACAGTTAAACTACCAGACCAACAGTGATTTTCATCATTTAGAAATATTGGGACAAAGGCTTAAACTCCTGAAGACACATCTGTAAAATAAGGATCAGGGGTGTCTCCCGGCTTTGTGCAAGGAAAACTAAGATGTAGCGAGACACCAACATCTATGCTGAAGATTAAATAAGACACTGCCTCTAAGCGTCTGGTCTAACTTAGAACCTGGACCTGTGAAACACCAAGTATCACCAGGACCTGCATGGCCGAAGGGCTTGGAATACGGCTCAGTGGCACAGCCCTCATCTAGATGTCACAAGGCCTGGTGTCAATCGCAAACAAAAAAACCTACAGTAAGAATTTGATGTAACAAGAAAAGAAACAAGAAAAAAGCCACAAAAGAGAATCCTGATCTGAGACAGTAGAAGAATATCCCCCTATCAACCAAGCAACATATGCAAAAATAGAAACAGAAAAATCCCCCACCAGCCTTGCTGTTTTCCTGCAAGTTTACACATGCAGAACCAAGCCAGCTGCCCTCCTTAAAAGCCCCGAGGCAGAAGAGAACTAAAGCAAACAGCCCTTAGTTAACAGCCACTGAACTCCTAGCAGGCTACAGGACCGCACTTCTTAAGTCTTTTTTCTTTTTTGGTAGCAAAAATAATGATCATTCCATACAAATAATATCAGATTCGCAGGATTTAAATAAAATTCAGCCTTGAGGCCAAATGGCAGTCTGGCACTGCCCTGTTCACTCACGGCCGTTGGCACTGAGCTAGCCCTGCAGTGAGACATGCTAAGCATCAAACTGACTGATAAAACGGGCGCTAATGAAGAGGGGCAGCGCCCCAGCCCTCTGCGCTGTAAGTGCACTTCTAGCGTGCCGGGGAGTTGTCCCATTCTCTCTTATGCATCTCCCTTCTTTGTACCCACAGTGTATAAACTTGAGCACACTTTATGAGCTAATGGTCTGCACAGCATCTTGATTCAGGCACCAATGATGTAACACATTTTTCTAGCAGAAGATACATTCACTGAGGCAGTGTTCAAATGAACTGCTGGCAAAGCCAATCAAAATTCTGAAAGCCATGAAAAATAACAGCCAAAGACCTTGCCCACCCCTTCCCAGTTTTATAGAATCACCAGGCTCCCGCCAGGTGGACATGGAGACTGCCTTCCCGGCATTCCACTCTCTAACCATGACCCTGAAACTCCTGTTGCTGATTAATTCCAAGAGCTGACCTACCATCACTGCTTCCCCGGAGAACTACATCTGGTGAAGGTGTCTGCCGGGAGCGGGAGCCGAAAGAATCCAGGCTGTCGAAGGAGTCATCTCGGCCGTGGCGAGGAGGAGAGAGGGAGTCGCTGCGTTCAGAGTCCCAGCAGTCGATGTAGCCACTGTCTCGGATACTGCGCTTAGGGCTCTCAATGTCATCAGTCTCCTATCCCAAAATAAAACAGAGGAATTTCAGATATGACTGCAGCATACATAGATTATCCGGCTTCCAGTGGTCCACGAAGATACTCGCGATCTGGTGTGGAAAAGTCATAGCAGCTAGCTAACGAGACTAATGAGCATCAACAGGTGATTAGCCAATTCCTCCAGCTTTCTCTCCTGCATCCTTTCAATTAGAATATCATGCACATCAACAACAACAAAAAAATCCCCAAGTAACTCACATCCCACACACATTTTTTTAAAAAGCAATTACATATAGAAAATCACAAAGTTTGGATTCAGAAGAATGCAATGATCGTTGACAATAAGGACAAAACCTTTAACCTGTCTTTCGGAATCCATAGCCGCATGTCTGTGGGACGAGCCCCTAGTTCAGCACCACTGCCCAGGGTTATGCTATCTGGCAAAGGCAGGCAGAATCAGGGCTGTAAAATTCTGCAGCAGTATGCTTCCATCTCCGGCTACCTTGGAGGAAAATTCCTGCTCTGAAAGCGAGCTGTCTTTCTGAGGCAAAAGTTTAAAAAAAAAAAAGGCAATGAAAAATATGCAAAATGCTTTTCCTGATGCCTCAGAAGAATCCAGGCATGCTCTCTCCCCGCCAGCTCTTGGCGTTGGGGGAGCTGCAGGCACTTGTGGCTGACCCACATGTTCGGAGCGGGGAGAACAATGGCTGTCTTTGACAGCCTGTGATTATAAATTCTTCCTAGCACAAGCGGCACATACTAAAACACTGGAACTCCAGCAGAAGAAAGGTCAGTCAAAACCATCCTCACCCTCGTATTATAAGAAAAGCCTTGTTCCCGCCGGTGCCTTCGCATTCATTACAATAGTCCGGGCTGGTGAAAACAAAGATAACTCCCGTCACTCAAAGATAAACCTCCGCTCAATATCCCGGAGACTGTCACTAGAAATCAAGACTGTGGATCACACTGGCAGAGGAGTGTGCTCTCACGGACAAAGAGCGGAATGTTGCCCCACAGATTTCCCCGGGATGCACATGGAGGTCCCCTCTGCATTCCCAATGGAAAGGAAAAATAAATAAATCAGCATTTCCCATGTTTGCAGTTGGAGACGCTGGTCTATTCTATCTGAGGTACCCCTGGGAGCCCATGCCTTTGCAGGAAGCATATTTGCTGTCTGCTTCTAACAATTGGGGAGAGGGGCTTCTGAACCATTCTCCACCCTGGGGAGATAGGCATGGGGGGGGGGAGGCTGGGATGGTTGCAATTCACAAGGCACACTCAGGTTTCCCATCAGGAGGAAGGAGTGGGCAAGAGGGCAGGGGTGGGGGTGAGGAAAACCCTGTAGCCCCTGAAGAATAGGCTGTCAAACACCTGGGTGAGTCTAGCAATACAACACTCTAGGGCAGTGGTTCTCAGCCTTCCTAATACTGCGACCCTTTAAAACCGTTTCTCATGTTGTGGTGACCCCCAACCACAAAATTATTTTGTTGCTACTTACTTCATAGCTGTAATTTTGCTCCTGTCATGAATTGTAATGTAAACACCTGACATGCAGGACATCTGATAGATGACCCCTGTGAAAGGGTCGTTCAACCCCCTTAAGACCCATAGGTTGAGAACCACTGCTCTAGGGGAAGGCAGAAATGCCAGTTATGGAAATTAAGGTTAATTACTTGCAGGTCAAAAGTTAACATGAATTTGGAACAAAATCCAGGCCTGAGAAGTTGAAAAAAGAACTCATGACTCACTGAAAAAATATAGATCTGAACTAGACAGAGGTTCAAATTTAGCTTCCTTGGGAATACAAGTTATTATTGTAAATTACTCATCGGCCAAATGACTAAAATATGAAGTTTACTTTTATTGAACAGTTACTATATGTCCGGGTCATGCTTTTTGCATATCATGTTATTTACCCCCATAACCAGTCAATATGGTAGTTAATAATATCCTTATTTTATAGAGGAGAAAAACGGGAATTGGGGAGTTACTTTAACTTAACCCACACAGTTAAGAAGTAAATACTTAAAAATAAAACCTAAAACTATTCACCTCTGGAGGTTGGCAAGATGGCTCAACTGGATGTTGCCTGCACCTTGCACGGTGAATGCTGCCACTCTGGGTTATGTCTCCTGCATGATGCTGCTTATGACCATATGGCTGGGTCTAAATCTTGCTAGCTGTGTGACATGAGGCAACTCATGTCGCCTCACAGATCTTCATCTATACAATGACACCCATCCAACGGGGCTTCAGGGACTATTAAACAGGCGACATGTGGAAAATATTCGGAACAGGGGATGAAGCGGAATAACAACTCTAAAGAGCATCAGCAACGGTTTTAACTACTCTTTCCTCAATGACGCATGCACATTTTAACATAGAAATTATCTAATATTTATACACTGATGTCAAGGGCAACACTTTCCACACTGATCTGTTCTTTTTCTACTTAGGTCTCAATGGCTGGGAGACACAGACTCTCAGGGGGTGGGGCCACTAGTTGCAGCTAGCAGTGACATGCTTATAGGCTGTTTGGGGCAACATGACAAAACTGAATTTTCCAGAAGATAATATCAGAAAGGCTTTCCACGAAGCCTGGGTCTTCCTCGCACCTCCAACTGCAGTAGAAGATTCAGGAAGAAAGAGGGTCAGTGTGCTTATTCCTGGAGCCTCAGCGGCTTTCTCCCTGGTGCTCATGGGAAAAACAGAAAGCTTGCCACGTTCACGACTATGTCGTAAGCTGAGTCTCCGGTGGGGAAACAAATGGCATGGACAGTCTGAGAAGTGGAAAACAGGTCACTGTGACCATCCCTGGCCATGCTGGCCTCCCAGGAATGCCACAGGTAAAGCAAGAGGCTGATCTGTCAGCCAGAAATAAAAGATGTGGCCATCCACTGGACATTCAGCTTTACTGGTTTCAAACAAGTCGCCACCCCCCTTTTTTTCGGTGTGTGTGTGGGGGGGTTGCTATAAAGTGAGGCTTTGGAAGAGGGTAGAAAATATAAACCAGCAAAGAGAGGTATGCTTACATCTTTAAGGGGTCTAATTGCATTGTCTGTACCTTTCGCCTTGGAGCACAGCACCTTCTGTCTTCCACAGAGTACTTGAGGGAAGGCAGGGAAGACTGAACACAACCCACTGTACCAACTAACTGCTCGCTGTTCTGGTGAAAGAGGGTTCGGAAAGGGAACGGGCGCCGCTAGCCTCCACAAACTCTGAACTTATTTCACGAATCCCCCTCTCTTCCTTAGTCCCTTGGTGAGTGTTAATGAGAGCCAGCAAGGGTCTGCGGATGACTGACAGCATCTAAGACACTCCAGATGCCTTCTCTGGAGAGCTCTACATTTTTCTGCTCGCTGTGTGATTTACGGGGTGGCTGAGTGCTGCTCAGACATGTCTGAGGTTTAGCTTCTCCAACACGACTGCCCATGCCTCACTCCTCACGGTTGGGGAAGCCATTCCTTCCACAGATATCGCCTTCTAGGAAGCATTCTATCCCCAGAGACACAGCATCATAAAAATAAATCAATACACACCATGTTTGTAGGACCCTCATGTTCTGACTGGAGAGACCACAGATAAACAGAAAAAAGGTGAGTAGATACAAAATTGGGTGATGAGTTTGATGGTAGCGGCTCTTTTGTGCACTTGTCTCTCTTGCGTTTGTTTGCTTGTCACCCCCTCATCCTTCCTTCTTTCGATGCCCCACCCCTTGGATCAGGAGGGGTGGGCCAGTCATACCACTCCATGCCACCCCTAGTCACAATGACGAGGGAAACAGGACTACCATTCTTTGGAATTCCTCTGGGTCTAGAGGAGATACTCCCTTACCTTTCCTAGAAGCGTCTTCCCCGGAGATGCTATTAGCTGCATCCCTTTATGAGGGTTGCCTTGCTTAGAGGAAGGAGAGTAAATTCCAGAAGAGATGGGGGATGATGAGTGAAGGCCATGGAGAAATAACCTGCATTGCTCACAACACTGAGAACACCAAGCCCCCTTACAACTCAGGACTCCTGCTAAGAGTAAGTACCCTATAGTTACTTGTTGTGGGATATTTTGTTTGTGTTCTAAGAAATTATACATATTATATATAATATATCATGTATGCATGTATCTATGTATTTCCCCGAGAGAGGGTTTCTCTGTGAAACAGTTCTGCTGTCCTGGAACTCACTCTGTAGACCAGGCTGGCTTGGAACTCACAGAGATCTACCTGCCTTTACTTTCTGAGTGCTGGGAGTAAAGGTGTGAGCCACCACCACCCAGCATATATTTACTTTTTATAGCCAAAAAATAAAAAGCCTTTATAAAGCCTTTCTTTCCTACGTCTCTCCTTGCAGATGGGTATGAATTTATGACCGAGTTCAAATCAATGAGAAGTTGTGAGTTATTGTCACAGACTAGAACGGAATGCTGCAGACTAGGTAATTGAAAAAGAATCTGCATATCAAAGTTCTACAGTCTGCTAAGTCCGATGCTAAGGTGCTGGCATGGAGAAAGACCTTCACAACACAACAGAAGCCATTCTCTACCTAGAGGATGCACGTGCCGCGCGGACAGTTTGCCTTGGTAACACAGCAGGGATAACAAACCCATTCCTGCAACCACAGCATCAATTCATTTGTGAGACTGTACTCCCTATGGCCAAATAGCCTTGAAAATATAACTCCTGTAGCTACCACTACAGTTCAAGTCCAGCATGAGTTTTATGGAGGACATTCAAACCACAGCAGGATATAGTGTGTAATTTTCTAAAGGCGTGCTCAAAGGCTAGCCCTCTTTTCTGTTCTTCCTTTTTCCTGACTTGAATGTGGACGTGACAGAGAAAGTCTGAGCAGCTAGTTTGAGCCAACAGAGAAGAAGCCATGGGCTAAGGATGATGGTACATGGGACAGAGGGGTCCGGGCTTTCTGGCAGCGCCCAGGTGTAGAACTTCCATACTCGCTCTGGACTGCTTGCTCACTCCCAAATCCCACTTACATGAGAAGAAATAAAGTATTTTTTCAGCTGTTATTGAGTTTTTACATTTTGCATTTGAACCCAATCATTAGTGAGAACATGGAAAAATATAGATCACAGGTAAGTATCTTTTAGGTCATGTTATAGGTCATACTGCTACGAATTGTAATATCTGATACACAAGAGACCTGGTGTGTGACCCTGTGGAAGGGTTGTGACCCACAGATTGAGAACCACTGCTTTAAGGAAAGAAGACCAATTTATTAGAAAGTTGGAACAAATTCTTGCTTTCAGAATTAAAATCATGAAGTTCTGAATATTCTGAAAACTTTATTCGTTCTCTCTCTCTCTCTCTCTCTGTGTGTGTGTGTGTGTGTGTGTGTGTGTGTGATTTGGACATCTACATGTGAACGTTGAGGAAAACTCGTGTCAGTTCCCTCCTTCCACCATGTGGGTCTCAGGGATGGAAGTCAGGTTATAAGGCTTGGTGGCAGCATCTTTACCCACGAGTCAACTTGCTGCCCTTTTGAATATCTTTCAGTGAGTCTCATTAGTGGATTAATTTTTGTATGGTAGAAAAGCAAGGAAGAGCTGGCCTCAATTATTTGTGCCCTGAGATGGCCCTGACCAAAATACAAGGATGATAACTACAGGTGAGCCTTCCTGCTTACACAGGCTGCTCGGTAGGGATTCTCTTGTCCAATACTAGGAACCAATATTTTGTATGAATTAACTATATTGCTGAGCCTTTAAAAGGATCCATAAAAGCATTCCACTGTTTCTTTAACAAATTCTTACCTTCTGCCAATCTTTCCCACGAGCAAACAAACCAAGCTTTTAATGATACGCCATCAAATAGTTTAATAAACACATCAAGCTCTAAAACCATTTTCTGAGTGTCCAGATCACTCAACGACAATGGGCATCAGACACACATAGTAAAAGGAATACTTCTAGCTTCTCAGATCCCATCTAGGGTGGCAGCTGGGGCAAGGACATGGCTGGCATCACCTCGCCCACATCAAGGGCCTAACAGGCAAGCGCCATGACCTTTAGGCTCAAAGTGCAGGGCAAGCGTTTGTTTTTGTATAATGCCACATTGTTTAATTTGGGCATCACCCCTCCAAATGCACAGGCCATGAGCTGGCCATACACCAACATACCAAACTCACTCTTTCGTAACCACAATTGCAGCCAGCTGAGATTTTCCATTCACTAAGTGTGACAGATACAACTTCAAGGGAGACGAGATTCAGGGGACAAAGACGCTCTGGGTAAGACACCCCGCCCTTTTCTTTATTTAGTACATACCTTGGGTCAGAACAGTTCTACCTGCGAAGCCATAATTATCTTTATTTTAGTAAAGTTTTCTTTTTATTCTATGTGTATAATTATTTTCTCTGCACGTATGCCCACAGGGGTCAGAAGATGGCATCATACCTCTGGAACTGGAGTTACTTAAGGTTGTGGGCTACCATGTGGCTACTGGGAACTGAACCCAGGTTCTTTGGAAGAGTATCAAATTCTCTTCCCCACTGAGCATTCTGGTCCCAGAACTGTAATAATCTAAAAACGTGCCGCTTTCCCACTCTGTCCAACCCTTGGGGGATGAGGAAGAAGAGCCAAGTCACCTTTCGCATCTGAGCCAACAGTCCTTCGAACTCCTTCAGGTTCAGCGTCGTTCCACTGTAGGACGCGCAGCTGTTTGCAGCTTTCCCCAGCCAGTAAATGGTCACTAACACCTACAGAACAAAACAACGTATACAAGTAGCAGGATTTGTCCCGAAGAATGATATTTCCACTCCGGGAACGGCAAAGCAGGAAGGAACAGCTCAGCGACGCTGACTTGTGAAAACCAGCGCAGGCTGCGCCCATTAACTTGAGATCACAGTAATGGGAACCCAAAGCTGTCTCCGCTGACCCAGACACACGGTTCAGTCAAGTAAGTCTCCAGCGCTAGGCAAGAGGAGGTTGTGAGAAAGTGATCTCTGAGTGAGCAAGGAGGGAAAATAAATCCTCCAAAACGACATCCTCGTCACTCAGCATTTTCCCACAAGCTCTTTGGAGTCTTTACCCAGACGAGCAATGCAGGAGACCGTCAGCTCCATTTGAGACGGGTGCTTTCGGAGCCCCTCCTTTTCACTCCTGTGCATGGAGAACCTACTGGAATGATGGCAAAAATCCCGAAGGAGCGGAAAAGGTTACTGAGTGTCCCGCAGCACGGGATCCACACAGTACATCTAAGGGAAGTCAGAAGAAAGCAAGGTCCAGAGAGTGGGGCCTGCAGGAGAGCACAGCCGCATCCTCATTCATCTGAGATGGGAAGATTTTAGCCTTGACACAGTTGCTATCAATTAACCAAACTTGGACGCTGAAGAATGTTCATGAATATCCAGTGGTCTGAGGTTACCGTCCTACATTAGTTTTGTGCCGTCTCTCCAAAGAACTGTTCACAAAAGCACAAATGTTCTTTACTTTCAGTTGTGGTGGGGGGAAAGAAAGAAAGAAAAGAAAGAAAAAAAAGCAAAACACGGGTTGGCTAGCGATGTGCTCCTTAGCTGAATTATAGGGCTCAGAAGCCCGTGCAAAAGCTTAGACTTTATGTTCACGTTCTGTCTTTTTGCTTCGTCTATGCTGGGAAGAACTTATTGCCCTACCTTCCGCACTGTGGGTCTGGATAATGGGACGCAGGCAAACGGGTCCAGCTGGCCACGGCCCAAAGTAGAGCAGTGTGCAAGAGTACTATGATGCGGTGAGTTTTCTTCCTCTGCGGGAAACTCTTACATCATGAATCCTTCAAAACTTCCAGAAGGGCTTTTATTAACTAAGTTCTTACAAATAAATTCCCAGAGAACAGACAATCCCGAATGTAAGGACATTAACTAGAACCATAACATAGCTAACGTGTGCTGACTGCGAGCCCATCTGGGCCGCAAATGGAAATGGCTAATGTCAATCTTGAGACCCATCACTGTGTGTTTTAGGAAAATGAACCCACACACAGAATACAAGCTTTTGTTTATTTCTAGACTGAATACTGATTAGAGTAAAACCTCCAAATCTACTATTTTTAGCTCTAGCATAGCTATTAACTATTCTATAGGAGATGCATTTACTTTTTTCTAAGAAAGAATCTTTCTAATAAGGCCTATCAGATGCACTGCATTTAGCTAAATGTCAACCTTGGACCAATTAAAGCCAAAGTATACAAACTTGGAGAGAGACATTAAAACACTTACGTTTTTCAGCTTCCGGCTATAATCAAGGTTCCTAGGTCAGGAAAGAAAAACAAAACATTATTAGAATAGCAGTTTCTTCAGTGTGGTCTTTTCTTAAATACCTCTAAGACACACTTACAAAAAACACATAAAACAAAATCAGAAGAATATTGCTGGCTTTTAAAGGCCTATGGCTGGAGGTTTCAGTTGTAGGAGAAAATTGCTAAGGGAAAACAACCAACCAACCAATCAAACAAACAAAATACAAGGACCAAGTAGGATTGAAGTTTTGCAGGATGCCAGAAATGCTTTTTAACATATGAAATTGAGAATTCCGCTTAAAGTTGGGACTAATTTATATTTGAATTTACAAAGCTTGACTGTTGACGATTCTGTCTTGAAGGAGATTTGATCACATTTCCCAAGTCGTCTTCTACTTGCAAGTACATTTAATAAAGGTCTGAAAACTTAGAAAACTTGACCTGAAAACACATGTATAAGAGGAAGCAGTACTATCCACATGGCTTTCCTCCCTGCCCCCGTCACAAATTAGAATAAAAACTTGGCCATAAACAGGAAAATATGCTTGTTATTTTCAAATGTATGCACATGTGTTCAAAAAATACACATCATGTTTATTCCCTAAAACCCACCAAAGCTCTATGCACGGAGCATCAAAATGAACACATGCACAAGTAAGTACTAGGAAAAGGAAGGCTCGATTCCTTTTCTCTGGTCACTTTGGTGAGGCAGGGGGTGCAGAAATCCCACTGTGTAAACTAGCCAAGGGCACTTCAAAGCATTTACATCAGGATTACTTGCTTCTAGCGGACTCTAACAAACACGCGTGATGAGCAGTGGGCAGGTTTGAGCGGACTGATATCGGAAGGACTGGCAAACACCAGCCCTGCTCTGTGGGGGGCAACACAGGGTCCGGGGTTTCAGGTAAGACAAGAATCCATCCAATCCGCATTTTATCAAGGAAATGTTTTTATATTTTTGAGTTTCATGCTATTCTCGGCTTAAATATCTATGAAGGTTTTTTTCCCATTTAAAAACAGAAAGATGAAAAAAATCCAAGGAAGACATAAAATATCTTAGAAAACCAAGAATAGAGAAAATGACCCTTTTCCTGCATTGACAATAAAAGGTCAGTGAGAGAAACTGTGACTGGGTGCTAAAAAAAATTATACGCGGCACACAGTAGGACCTCACAAAATATTTGTTGAGTGATCTCCTCATAACTGCCAACTACTTGGAAACACTTCCCAGTTTTTAGAGAGACTTCCTGCCCCAGGAGCCATCTGCAGCCTCTCTACACTTCTGTGAGACCATGTTGATCCCCTGGAAGGTCTGCGCCGGGCGTCCCTCTGCACTGCGCTTTTATTTCCATTAAACTTGTCTGGCATTCATTATAGGTAGAGTTCATGCAATTACACAGTCGGTAATGTAATAATTTTCAGGTTTTTCCTCTTAAATATTTTTTCTTTATTGTCTTCTCAGGTTACATTTGGATAGAAAAGGTAAGAAAAATGACCTGTACTTAAAACTAGAGTGTTTCTTTAAAAAAAATTTAAAAATATAAATATTCCCCATGGGATCCATCCCTCATCGTGTATCTCCTTGCTGATGCTACTAATTCTTGTCAAAATGATGCTCTCCCTCTAAGCTGTTAGCTGCTCAGTTCTCAGAAGGGAAACCAGAGAATTGCAACGGTGGTACTTGGATCTATCTGAGCTACAATATCAACACTTTAAAAATGAGTTCCCAACAACTAGTGCCAAAAATCAGAATCACCTATGCAAACATTGAGAAGCGAATAGCTTATTCCACGCTCCTCTCCTGCGCTCCTGCTCACCCCAGAAGCAATGCCTCTCTAAGCTCCACAAATTAATTTGCAACATAATTTTCATATAAATTCTTTATGATTTCTAATTATCAATCTAGTGAGACCATCTCTCTACGCAATGACTCCAAGCTCAGCATCCCCACTGCTTGTGATGAGCGCTCTCTCCACACAGGCGCTTAAGTACAACCCTCCAGCCTCACTGGGTCCTTTTCTCCTAAGCATCAACGGCTTCTTCTTCCTTTGACCTCTTCTTTTCTTTCCTCCACCCCAGATACCCAGCAAACCTCCCCATGGCCGATGCTTGCTTCTCATTCTTGTCGCTGTCTGTGTCCTCAGCTGAAGGGTCACCCCCTCAGACAGCCTATCCTTGACCCCCTCCAGATGGGCACTGTCTTTTCTGCCTCGCTATTGCATGCTCTTTGCAGCGTTCTCGCCCCCCCCCCCCCCCATGATTATTCTCTTTCTTACTCAACATTTCTAAGTTATTGACACCACAGTGTAAATTCACTATGAACAGAGGACCCTGGCGGTCTCGTTTGCGCATTTTCCTCAGGGAGGGAAAGTATCTCACATGCAGCAGCTATTGAGCTACTCATTTGTTCAATGCATGAATGAAGGTATAAAGGGTAAGTGGAGGTGATGGAAAAGCAGGGTCTAAAGACCACAGTGCACAAGGGGAGGACATCTTTAAAAGGAAAGAGACGGAGAAGAAATGCAAAATGGGGAGGCAGATGAGAGAAAGGATGAAAACGGGAAGGGAGGTGGGAGGCAGAGGAAGGAGAGGACAGAAAAAAGGAAAGCTCAAAAGGGCAAGAAAAGATGAAGATGCTGCCATAACAAAGGGACTGTGAGCACTTGTGACTGGCCCAGGTGACTTTCTCCTAGCTGGTTGCTTCCAGAGCCTCTGAGTTAATATATCCCTTGATTGCCTTCTTCCCCCCGGGCCTGCAATGATCAAGCCACATCTGGAACTACTGGATCCAGTCTTACTCTGTAGATGAGAGTGTAGGTTTAGGCCGCTCCAGACCGGGAGCTCTACCCACCCAGATTTCTGACCCCCCCAATTGTCATAGATGAGCAATGATCTGGGTTTCTGTCTTAGTTTCTGAAACCATCAGGCCTCAAAATTCTTCTGCTCTGGTAATTTATTGTTTAAAGGTGGCCAAAATTTAAGAATTAAAAAAAGGATCTAGAGTAAGCCACCAGAGTAAGTTTGCCTTCACCCTCTGAGCAATGTGTGTGTGACTGTTATCAGTACCCATGGTGCAGCACAGTGTGTGTGTGTGTGTGTGTGTGTGTGTGTGACTGTTATTAGTACCCAGGGTGCTGCACAGTGTGTGTGTGTGTGTGTGTGTGTGTGCCACTGTTATCAGTACCCAGGGTGCTGCACAGTGTGTGTGTGACTGTTATCAGTACCCATGGTGCAGCACAGTGTGTGAGTGTGTGTGTGTGTGTGTGTGTGTGTGTGACTGTTATTAGTACCCATGGTGCAGCACAGTGTGTGAGTGTGACTGTTATTAGTACCCAGGGTGCTGCACTGTGTGTGTGTGTGTGTGTGTGTGTGTGAGTGTGTGTGTGTGAGTGTGACTGTTATTAGTACCCAGGGTGCTGCACAGTATGTGTGTGTGTGTGTGTGTGTGTGTGAGTGTGACTGTTATTAGTACCCAGGGTGCTGCACAGTGTGTGTGTGTGTGTGTGAGTGTGACTGTTATTAGTACCCAGGGTGCTGCACAGTGTGTGTGTGTGTGAGTGTGACTGTTATTAGTACCCAGGGTGCTGCACAGTGTGTGTGTGACTGTTACTATTATCTATGATGCTGTACAGTGTGTGTGTGTGTGTGTGCCACTGTTATTAGTACCCAGGGTGCTGCACAATGTGTGTGTGTGTGTGTGTGTGTGTGTGTGTGTGTGTGTGTGACTGTTACTATTACCTAGGGTGCTGCACAGTTGCTGTTGTTTCTGGTCACTTGCCATGCAGGTGACACTAGAAATACGAGATGAGGCAGAACTTAAGTGATTTCCCAACGTGAAGTAGAACTTAGCAGAGGCCGGATTTAGGCTCAATAACAAATGGAGCATGTGATTTTTACAGCTTCTACAGTGAAGTATTACACCTTTGGTTTGCTTTCTTCACCTAACATCCACTTTCCGTGAGAAATACTAAAGAATGGCACGTGAAAAACGCAGAAGTAACTTTCGATCATCAACCATGGCTGACTCTCCTTCTTCCCAAGTCACGAATCATCAAATCCACTGTAAACTTTTTATCTTCAACTCATTCAGTAGTTTCAAGTCTCCCATCATCATAATTATGAAATCAAGGTCGGAGAATAGAAAAAAAGAACAACTCTAAATCATGGCTTCTTTCCCTATTGTGCTCAAATGGCACTGCCCCAATCATCAAATCTCAGATCCTCTCGACTTAACTCCGCTTATTGACTTTTGTTGCTACTGCTGTTGTCTGCAACACTTCGCCCTTACGGAGCCCTCGTTTCTTCAGTGCATGCATTATATAACCAGGCTGGCCTTAGTCCTGTAGAGATTCTCCTGCCTCTGCATCCTAAGTGCTAAGTTTACAGACTATGGTGCCTACCCTACTTTTAGATATTTTTCAAAAGACTTATTTTTTAATTATATGTATATGTTTATATCAGTGTATGGGTATGTATATGTATGTGTGTATATCAGTGTACGGGTATGTATATATCAGTTTATGTATATGTATATGTGTGTGTGTATATCAGTGTATGGGTATGTATATGTATGTGTGTATATCAGTGTACGGGTATGTATATATCAGTTTATGTATATGTATATGTGTGTGTGTATATCAGTGTATGGGTATGTATATGTATATATCAGTGAATGGATATGTATATGTGTATATCAGTGTATGGGTATATATATGTATATGTGTATATCAGTGTATGCGTCTGTATATGTTTATATCAGTGTATGAGTATGTGCACATGAATGCAGGTGCCCATGGAGGCTAGAAGAGAGAGCCTGTTGCTCTGGAGCTGGAGTGATAGGAGGTTGTAAGTTGCCTAGCATGGGTGCTGGGAACTGAACCGGGATCCTCTGCAAGAGTGTTACCCACTCTTAACAACTGTGCCATCTCTCTGGTCCCAGGAGAGAATCCAGCTTATTGTTCAACTATACTCATACTCCACACTCTGAATAAAATGACAACTGCTTTCTATGACATCGCAGGCTCTGAAGAAGCCCTGAACTACTGGCAATTTATTTTTGCGACCTCCTAAGTATGGATCTTGGTACTCTGCTCATGAGCTATCTCTTTATACAGAAACTCATCCTATTGCAAGAATTCTTTGCCCCCAAATGTGATTCACTAAATAGATGCAGGTAGAAATGGCCGAAAGGCCAATGATCCATCTCTGAAAAGCTTAATCACTGTCACAAACAAGAAAATCTCCCGCACACCCCACCATCAACAGCGGTCAATCTGTTTGAGTGCAGTCTGCCAAGGGCTTATTCAACTGTCCCACTGGAGCCAATTAAAGGGGTGCTGCTTAAGGCCCATAGATTTTGTACATATTTTGCTGTAGCCTTGCTTCTAAACTCTACTTACCATTTTCTCTTCTTCAAAATTCTGCTTCTATATTCACTTGAAAAACGACATTAGCTCAGAATCGGAGCTCCACACAGAGGAGAAGACACCGGGTCCTGCTGCGAAAGCCTGACTGTTGCTTGTGCATTTTTATTTTATTAGGTATGTGTAATCTTCTACCTCTTAGTACATACAACATCCTCTCGAAACTGCGCATCCAAACATCAAGGGTTTCCTTTAAACATAAACCAGGCATTACTCACTTGACAGTGGCCCTGTTAGACGTATCCTGGAGGTCACTTGGGTCAAAGAGTTGAGACTCTTTAAGGCCGAGCTCTTTGCAGCCTCTCAAGAATAAGATGGTATTGTCCTGGAAGGAAGAAAAGAAGCCCAGGTGTCACTTTAGATCATTTTTGACATAGTCCCATTTCATGATAGTCCAAATTGCTGTCAAGATGCCAGCCATCATGGCTGCTAAAGCCACATCGAAATCATGGTGTGTCACACAACAAAACTGTAGTTAGGAAACACCAGAATAAACAGACACTTCAGATTTCCAAAGTCCTAGCCATGCCAATTTTTTTTTCCTTTAGCTTGATACATTTGTAAACAACTGCAAGTCAAATGCTGCTACAAAGAGAATTTACCATTTTCTTTTAAGAAACAGTACTCCAGACAGTCAGGTATTTTCCATTGCTCCTAAATCATTTCCCCATGCCTTATTGCTTAGAACTTGGTATCAATAGATGCTTTAAAAATAGAATTAGAGCAGGGGTAAAGGTTTATCTGTTGGGTGTTTGCTGTGCAAGCATGAGTACCACAGTTCAGATCCCCAGTGCCCAAGGAAAAAACCAGTCATGATAGCATATGCCTGAAATCCAAGTGCTTACTGGTGAGCTCCAGGTTTAAGAGAGATCTTGTCTCCAATAATAATAATGATGATGATGGTGATGATGATGATGAGGAGGAGGATGAGGAAGATGAGGAGGAGGAGGAAGAGGAGGAGGAAGAGTAGAAGAGAAAGAAGAGAGGGAGGAGGAGGACAGCTGTATTGGTTTGAATGAGAACAGTCCCATAGGCTCATATATTTGCAAGGTTGGTCCCCAGTAGTGGAAGTGTTTGAGAAGGAGTAGGAGGTGTGGCCTTGTTGCAAGCAGTGTGTCACTGGGGCTGGGCTGTGAGGCTCTAAAGACTCCCATCATTCCCAGTGCGCTTTCCCTGCCTCCTGATTATGGTCAAGACGTGAGCTCTCGCTCGTCCCTGCTGCCTTGTCTCTGCACTGCCCTCATGGACTCTAACCTTCAGAAACCATAAGCTCAACGTAACACTTTCTTTTACATGTTTTGTTGGCCATGGCATTTTATAACAATAGAAAAGTAACTAATAAACACTGATAGAGGAAGATGCATAACACTGACCTCTGGCCTCCACAATCCATGTGTACACATGTGAACTTCCAACTGCATGCATACATGTGCACACAAACATACAGCACACACATAAAATAGGACATTGTAATAATAAATAATTTGAAGATAATAAAAGATTTTGCTGCCTAAGGTGTTCTCACCTTTGTTTTTCTTATTAATTGACTTAAATATATCATTTTTGAATTTTTATACTCATCATACATTCATTATGGGCTTTGGCTAAAAATATATTTTTAACGGAATGTAAGATTAATTAAAAGATAAAAGCAACCTGGTCCCATATTTCATGTCACATTGACTCCATTGCCCTCTCTGAGTGTGTGGGAAAAGAAAGAAACGGCAAATAGAGGGAGTGTGGGAGAAGAGCAGAGCCCAAGACACAATGCTATACATGAAGATGTCATGAAGAACCCCACTACCTTGCTAAAAAAAATAATAATAATTTAAAAAAGAAATCTAGACTCGATTGTGAAGGAAACTGAGAGCAAGAAAAACTTGTGAAAATAACGCAAAGACCCTCGTCATTCCCTGTCAGGCCCAGGTTTACTGTGCACCAGCAGAGGAACAGGACTGCCTGACAGTTACACTCTCAGCAAAGGAGGCTCCAGCTGGGCTACGCATCTATGAGAGGCCCGAGGAGTAAATGAATGGCTCTGAAAGGAATGCAAGTTGTGGGTCACCCACTGAAGAGCCCGGGACAACTAACTGGCCAGCAGATTTACTGCTAGGAATCTCTAATTGTCCTCTTCTCAAGAGACTTCAAAAGGCACGATCAGCTCCATCAACTTGTAAAACCTTATAGGACAAGGAGTATCAGTTCCAGGAGCCACATCAATGAGAAACTCTCTTAGTGCTGACAGAAACTGCTCTGTGAACAGCTCAACTCAGGGTGGTGATTATCCAGTTCATCCCAAATAGTTCAAAGGGATCAGCAAAGGTGGGATTTTTGATTACCCAGGGTGTAGGCAGGACTCTCAGGCCCCCAAGATGGACACACCAGAGGCAATCTCCCCTTGTGAACAAGTGAAACCCATGACTGTGATCAGGTTATGGCAATAACAACTGCCTCGAAGTTAACTGAGAGGAAGATTATCTGATTGGCACTGAGGTAATTAGGGAGCTTTTAAACAGAAGGTGATGTAAGAGTTCTCGCTGGCCCTGAACTCCACTGCTGCAAAGGCTTGAATTCAGTTAACTGCCATGAACTTGGGACAGGCTTGGGAGATGCTCCAGGTCTCAGCCTTGCAGTCATCTTGATTTCAGCCCTGTGATATTCTGAGCAAAGAGCCCTGGCTCACCCTATCCAGACATCTAATCTAGAAACAATGTGAGGTAATAAATGGGTATTGCTCTGGGATGCCAGCTTATGGTAATTGTTAATGTGGCAATAAAAAATTAACACACGTGGGCTCTAAAGAGCAACAGTAGAAAGTTGCTGACATTTCTATGGCCCATGTCATGTGACCAACATCCTTCCAAAGGCTGCATTTACTATATTAACTCTGTTAATCCCTGTACACTCTATCCTCAACTGAGAGATGAGTGCTCTGCAGTCTGAACAATTACGTAAAGTTCCAAGGTTACGATCAGCAAAAAACGCAGGGTGCAAAACAGTGTGGTATATCTGAAGAATCCAAGCATGGAATTCAAGGTCAGCACCAGAGGGCAATAGGGCCACAGAGGACTGATCGCAGTGGGTCTCACAGATGCAGAAAAGAGGCTGCAGGAATCAGGGGCAGCTGAGACACAGAGCAGTTATACATCATGCTGAACCAACTAGCGAAGTCTGCATCCCAGCTAACTCATCACAAAGATGGACTGGGCTGACAAAGGTCTGATTTCCAAAATATATAAAGAACTCAAGAAACTAGACTGTAAAAAACTAATCAACCCAATTATAAAATGGGGCATTGAGCTGAACAGAGAATTCTCAACAGAAGAAGTTCAAATGGCCAAAAGACACTTAAGATCATGCTCAACTTCCTTAGCGATCAGGGAAATGCAAATCAAGACAACTTTAAGATACCATCTTACACCTGCCAGAATGGCTAAAATCAAAAACACCAATGATAGCCTTTGCTGGAGAGGTTGTGGAGAAAGGGGTACACTCATCCATTGCTGGTGGGAATGCAAACTTGTGCAACCACTTTGGAAAGCAGTGTGGCGGTTTCTCAGGAAATTCGGGATCAACCTACCCCTGGACCCAGCAATACCACTCTTGGGAATATGCCCAAGAGATGCCCTATCATATGACAAGGGCATTTGTTCAACTATGTTCATAGCAGCATTATTTGTAATAGCCAGAACCTGGAAACAACCTAGATGCCCTTCAATGGAAGAATGGATGAAGAAAGTATGGAAAATATACATATTAGAGTACTACTCAGCAGTAAAAAACAATGACTTCTTGAATTTTGCATGCAAATGGACAGAAATAGAAAACACTATCCTGAGTGAGGTAAGCCAGACCCAAAAAGGGGAACATGGGATGTACTCACTCATATTTGGTTTCTAGCCATGAATAAAGGATATTGAGCCTATAATTCGTGATCCTAGAGAAGCTAAATAAGAAGGTGAACCCAAAGAAAGACATATAGTCATCCTCCTGGAGATTAACTTTCATCGGGCGATGAAAGCAGACAGAGACCCAAATTGAACACCGGACTGAACTCCCAAGGTCCAAATCAGGAGCAGAAGGAGAGAGAGCACGAGCAAGGAACTCAGGACCGCGAGGGGTGCATTGGGGATGATCTATCGGGAACTCAACAAGGCCAGCTGGACTGGGTCTGAAAAAGCATGGGATAAAACCGGACTCGCTGAACATGGCGGACAATGAGGACTGCTGAGAAGTCAAGAACAAGGACACTGGGTTTTGATCCTACTGCACGTACTGGCTTTGTGGGAGCCTAGGCAGTTTGGATGTTCACCTTACTAGACCTGGATGGAGGTGGGAGGTCCTTGGACTTCCCACAAGGCAGGGAACCCAGACTGCTCTTTGGGCTGATGAGGGAGGGGGACTTGATTGGGGGAGGGGGAGGAATATGGAAGGCGGTGGAGGGGAGGAGGCAGAAATCTTAAATAAATAAATAAATAAATAAATAAATAAATAAATAAAAACAAAGATGGACCGGGGATTCTCCGGAGGTAAAAACGCTAAGCCCCCAAAGCAGCAGTTCATGCTCCCACTTCTCCAGTTTCTAGCAGTTTCTGCTTACTCATCCATCCTGAAATTACCGCCCTCCTCCTTCTCTCGGTCTCTCCCTCTTTCCCTCTATGCCTCCATCCCTTTCTCAGTTTTTCTCTTTCCTGTTTGCCTCCCACCAGAACACAAGTATGTTCTCTCTTCCATCCTCCCTCCCTCCCCTTCCTTTCATCCCTCTCTTCTTCCCCCCCACCCGCCACCCCTATCCACTGACTCCCATTCTTTTTGGCTTTGAAATTTCTCAAAGACACCACTGGTTCTGAGGCTGCCATGCTTAAAATAAGGACCCTGCTTTGCAGGCCCATATCTCAGCGGAGTAAACATACCCTTTACCGAGGAAAGCAACCCTAAACAAGGCAGTGCCCTGTTCAGATGCCAGGTGGGCTCCAGTGGGCATCTGAGTGTCTTTTGGATTGAAGTGAGTGCCTTTCGGGAAAGTGAGGAAGTGAGCGGGTGCTCTCTAGGAATCACCAGCGAGCATAAAATGCAGTCCCCTAGGACTATGGCACCCTGGATCATGAGTACAAACAAGGAGGTGTTCTTCCTATGCACAGCCCCAGATGCACACGGGCACCCTGGAACACAGTGCAGCATTCAGTACACAGCCTACAAACATACAAGCTCTGTATGGCAGCCAGCAGGGACAATTTGGGCTGGAAGATTTAAATAAGTGCAGGTCTGTTTCCAACTCCTTGCTGTAACCTAATGACGCTGGAGAAGAGCCAAACCCTAGGCAGA